TTTTTCTTTTTTCTTTTTATTAATTATTATTGTATAAATATAATAATTATTTATGTAATTTTAAATTTATTTTAAGGAAAATAATAATAATAATAATAAGGGATAAAAATTGTTTAGAGATTTAATTAAAAACAATTTTGGAAAAAATGGGTGAAAATTTGGATTCTACGAGTATTTTTGAAAGAAAAATCAGAAACTGGATGGTCAAAATGTAATTTAGAAAAATTGTGCTACGTCATCTGCCCAGTCAGCAGCCCCGACCAACCAGGACGCGCCAGGTGGCAGAGACGCTGATGCAGGAGGCCACGCAGGAGGGTGCCACGTGGGCAATCCGCGTGCGCGCAATCAAACAGCTGAGATCCGTTCCCGCGCGCACGGACAACCCAGATCAAAAACGCACATGGACGGCACAGATTGAATCGCGCACGGACAGTTCAGATTGAATCGCGCACGGACAGTCCAGATTGAATCGTGATGAACGGTCCAAATTCACTCCCTATTTAATCGCGATCGGACGATCCAGATTAAAAGCGATGGATGGCTTAGATCAAAAGCGGATGGGTATAAATAACCTCATCCGCACCCAAACCCTAACCCTAGCCGCCAAAGCCCCTCGTCGGAGAAGACAGCCCAACTGCCGGGGAGCCGACCGCCGCCATACTGGAGCAATTTTCGACCGCTAAACGATGTAAAAATTCTACCATTTGCTCAGAATTTGATTCTAAACCCATTTATGACCAAATTGGAGCGAAAGCATCAGTCAATTGACCGAAAAACGCCGTCGAAGCTCAGCAGCGCCGCCGTAGGGTGTTTCGGTTTTCGCCTCTAATGAGACCCTTCCCGATTCCCGTTTGATGTGATTTTTCTACCATTGTGATCACTGTTTCCTCCTCTACAGGTTGACCGAAGCAAAACACCCAATCGCAACATGAGCCGGATGAGCCACCGCACCGGAGAGCCCCCCACCGGTGAGTTTCAATTCTCTATGTTTTTTCGGCCCACCGAGGGCCCTAAGTATGTTTTCTTACAGGAACTGATGCAAGTTTGGCTAAATTCGGCCGAAAACAACCAACCCGAGGCGGATCGCCGCCGTGTCGAAATTCTAAAATTAGCCGAGTAGGCCTTGAGTCTAATTTTTGGGTTACTTGGGACATGTGTAGGTACCGTAAGCACATTTCAGTTTTCGAAAAAAAATTCAGAGAACTTAGGGACCGCTCGTAGGCGCAGTAACAATCTAGTTTTCAGCGTCAAATCAAGTAAGAACCCTTCACCCTATTTACTATTATGGCATTGAAGTTTGAATAAATGATAATACTATATTTTGTACAAATTAAATAGATATGCATAATTAATTACGGTTGCTAATGGAGCCCAAACCAGACATTATTCTCTATCGATTTTTGTTTGACTTATTTTACAGTTTAAATGAATTATGGTATCTGGTTTATCTATCATATAGTTTTTAATGCATGTATCACTGCTTACTTCACTACTGTTTGATTTTGGGAATCTAATATATACTTCACTACTGTTGGATGCACGTTACTTGTTTATGTATTTATGTTTGAGTTGGTAACTGAGATTAAGGACAAATAGGAATGGGATGTGATTTGATAAATGGATAAGATGACAGCCTCACTAGATATCTTGGGAGATAGTGGACGGAACGGGTTCATATGAAACCCTACCGTGAACATTATCTCACACCGGACGGGGTATGAAGACTTGGTCATTTGGTGCTCATACCGGATGGGGTATGGGGATGGCCCGCTTCACCCTCACACCAGACGGGGTATTGAAGTTTATTATTTTTACGCTCATACCGGACGGGGTATGGAGACGGCCCTGAAATTAAGATTGTTAAGGGGAATGGTTCACGTGTAGCGAGGACCCCTATGGATCCCCATGAATACTAGTAGGCTAGTAAAAACGAAAAACGGTGATAATCAATTATTGTTAATGAATACGGATTTATGATGTGTTTTGTGTTACTAATTATATATGAAATTGTGATCTGTATGATATTATTATCTTTATAGGTTATTTTCACAAGTTCTCCAAATGTAAGAAAAATGGTAAGTGATTTTATTTTAAATAATTATATTGGTTTTAAAATTTGTGCTTCATTGGTTGTTTTCGGTTTTCTACCAAACTTTATTTCTGTGATAGTAATATATTGTGATGTTCTTATTGGGATAGTGTACCTCATTCCTTATTTAACCATTTCAGATCAAGAGAACCTGGTTTTCGAGCTCGATCCACAAGAAGACGGCGAGTAAATGCTAGATGTTTTATAGTTTTCTTTATTTTTCTCATTTCTCGTATTTTTTTTAGAAAACTTATCTCGTGATATTATTTAGTATTTTTAAGTTATTGTATAAGGGATGTTAATTTTAATATTTTATTTCACTTCTGCAGTTATATTATTATATGTATTTCATTTTAGATTTCTGGAATCGTTAAATATATACATACGTATATGTCATTATCCGTTCATTTATTTTTGGGTTTTGCCTACATCCAAATATGTATATATATGGAGGTTATATCAATTTAATGCTTTTTCTTTCGTATCATTATATATGAATATATATATACATATATGTATATGTACATATATCTTTGCTTACCGTTAACATAATTCATGTCTTTTATATGGTAAATTCATGACCTCTTCTTAGAAGTTAGTTTAAATAAGCTAAAAATATATATATCGCTAAGATAAAATTCTTTTTTTAAAAAAATGCAAAATCTCACCTTATTTTAATTTTTTTGAACTTTATTTTTTATAGAAATTGTCTTATGTAATATTATAGATTATATTTTTATAATAAATTAGCTTGGATATAACTTTCTAATAAAATTCATAAAATAAATTTTTATTAAATTATTATATAAAATTATTTTTAGTATATGATATTGTTAATATATGAAGATAATAAGGCAACAAATAAATATAAAGTATTAAATTAAAATCTCGTAAAAATAAATAATTGAATAACTCGAAAGAAACAAGTATTACACAGAACAAATACTCTCATGTTACCACCCTCCGAGGCGGCAACATTATATATTAAAATAACATGAATGACATGAACTATATATATATATATGTATATATGTGTGTGTGTGTGTGTGTGTGTGTGTGTGTGTGTGTGTATATATATATATATATATCCTTCCCGTATCATTTATTTTAGAAAAACTCATAATTACGGAACAACGTCATCAATGGACAGCACTCAATGATGATCTGTGCAGTACGGTAATGACTCTCAAGTCTCAAGGTGATGAGGAAGTTTTGGGCAACTCAGGTTTTGGCAATTCAGCAGGTATCTCTGGCTTAGGCAGCTCAGGCATTTTTGGTAACTCGGGTTTCGGCAGCTCAGGCAGTTCGGGTAGCTCGGGTTTCGGCAACTCACCAGGTATTTTGGGCATCTCAAGTTTTGGCAACTCAGGCATTTTTGGAAGCTCAGGTTTTGGCAACTCAGTAGGCGTTTTGGGCGTCTCAGGCTTTGGCAGCTCAGGCATTTCCGGCAACTCGGGTATTTTAGGCAGCTCAGGCTTTGGCAACTCAGTAGTCATTTTGGACACTTCAGGCTTTGGCAACTCGGGCATTTTTGGAACCTCAGGCTTGGGCAACTCGGGCTTCGGCAACTCGGGTATTTTGGGCATCTCGGGCTTCGGCAACTCAACAGGCACTGTGGGTATCCCAAGCTTAGGCAACTCGGGCACCTTCGGCAACTCGGGCACTTTCGGCAACTCAATAGGCTTTTTGGGTAACTCGGGCTTTGGCAATTCAGTGGGAATTTTGGTTAAGTGAGGCAATTCAGGCAACTTGGGTAACTCTGGCTCTTTTGTTTCCAGAAGACGACGAGCTCCAACAAGAAGAAATGTATTGGTGGTCATGAACGCCATTGAAACCAGCAAAAAGGGGAAGAAGAAGGAAAAGACTTTGAGAAACGCCATGGTTGTAGCAAAGACTTAATTGTTTATCAGAAAGTAATTGATAAGAAATCTTGATAACTTACGAATTTTGATTCATACGTTTTGGGTTTATATAGATAATCAAACTGGTTTTGGAGTGTTGGGATTGTTTTGAATCAAGCTTCTCATTCAATCGGTAGTTCAACATCTCACACCTATTTTAACTTCCTTTAATATACAATACCATGATTCTGGTTACCCACCTATCTTCCTTATGTGGTGAGGTGAAGTCAAATAAAATAAAATATTAAGAAAACTCACGTTTCATTACTATTAATATCTTTTAAAAAATCTTAATGTTCCTACTATAAATTATTAATTAATTACATTTTCACTATAATACAATACCAATATGAACATACATCAATTATAGAAAATAATTTATTTCTTAATCCTCTCGTATTGATGAGTCAAATCACCCCCATTGAATCTTTTTTTTTTTTTTTGTTCTATTTTAGTTTAAATGTATAAAATATGAATCGTCTTTGTACAGCTTAATTGTGGAACTTGGAACCATAGATATATACCTCTTCTATGAGGACATGCAAAAAAATAAAGAATGTTAGAATTAAAGATTGAGAACTCTTTTCACTATATATATATATATTTTTTTTTTAGTGCAATAGTTTTGATATTTAGATCGTAAAAGAAGAGATTCACGAGAATAAAAGTAAAGAGATCAAATTGTTATATTTTGTTTTATTTAGTTCATATCATGTAAATCACAACATGTTATGTGGGTTTCTCATCTCTCGAGATTAGTTCGAGTGAAATATACAAGACATTTTAAACAAGAATGGATCTTAATATTAGACACATATTAGATAGAATTTGTCATTGAACAGTTATTACTGAGAGAGCTTATGATTCATAGAGTTGAAAAATATAATCGGTGTGATACTGTGGGAGAAAAATTTATATGGTGTTCTCCATTATATTTGGTAATATTAAAGTATAATGGATAATCTTTTGTAGATAGATCAAATATACTAAATTATATTTTTTTCTCTAATTTTAAGTAAATTATCAGTAATATATAATAAGTTAAGTACGTAAAAAGTAGTAAAAAAAATATATACGTACAAAATAAATTAAGTATAATTTTATTAATAAACATTATTACTGCATAGATTACACACCTATTTATATTAACCACTCTGAGGTGGTATCATATCAAACTTTATTATTCGATGAACTATATGTTCTATAACATGTAGAAATTCATAATAATTAATTTATATAAATTATTATTCGAGTGTTGTGCTGTGTGCATAACTAAATTCATATGGTAATTAAGGCTTAAGTGGAGTAGGCAGGTAAGGTAACTCTGGCATTTTAGGTAACTTTGGCAACTCAGGTTTCTCACGTTCTGGCTCTTTGTATTTAGGTTCACGAAAATCAGGCTTTTTATACTCTGGTTTTTCGTATTTTGGTTCAGGAAACTTATATTCTTCATGTTCTGGCTCTTCATGCTTTGGTTCAGGACACTCAGGTTCCTCATGTTTTGGTTCAGGAAACTTAGGCTCCTTATGTTTTGGCTCTTCACGCTTTGGTTCAGGAAACTTGGGTTTCTCATATTTTGGCTCTTCATATTTTGGTTCAGGAAACTTAGGTTTCTCATGTATTGGCTCTTCGTGTTTCGGTTCCTCATATTTTGGTTCCTCATATTTTGGCTCTTCATACTTCGGTTCCTCATATTTTGGCTTTTCGTGTTTTGGTTCCTCATGTTTTGGCTCTTCGTGCTTCGGTTCCTTATGTTTTGGCTCGTCATGCTTCGGTTCCTCATATTTTGGTTGTTCGTGCTTCGGTTCATCATGTTTTGGCTCTTCATGCTTCGGTTCCTTATGTTTTGGCTCGTCATGCTTCGGTTCCTCATATTTTGGTTGTTCGTGCTTTGGTTCCTCATGTTTTGGCTCTTCGTACTTTGGTTTCTCATATTTTGGCTCTTCGTGCTTCGGTTCCTCATGTTTTGGCTCTTCGTGTTTTGGTTTAGGGAACTTAGGTTCCTCATATTTTGGCTCTTCGTGTTTCGGTTCCTCATGTTTTGGCTCTTCGTGTTTCGGTTCCTCATGCCTCGGCTCTTCGCGCTTCGGTTCCTCATGTTTTGGCTTCTCGTGCTTCGGTTCCTCATATTTTGGCTCTTGGTACTTCGGTTCAGGAAACTTAGGTTCCTCATATTTTGGCTCTTCGTATTTTGGTTTCTCATATTTTGGCTCAGGAAACTTGGGTTCCTCATATTTTGGCTCTTCATGCTTTGGTTCAGGAAACTTGGGTTTCTCACAATATGGTTCTTTATGTTCCTCGTGCTTTGGTTCTTCATATTTTGGGAATTCAGTCAACTTTGGGACATCATGCCTCGGGAATTCAGGCAGTTCCAGCAGTTTCTTTTCCAGAAGATGACGAGCTCCAATAAAAATAGTGTTGGGGCTCATGGAAGCCATCAAGAAAGGTAAGAAGAAAGAGAGGGTGTGGAGATAGACCATTGTTGGAGCAATGAGAAGAAGGATGTGGAGGAGTTGAGTGCATTTTGATAGTGTTGAGTCCATGGGTTTTTATAGATGTGGGAAGAAGAGAATTTGAGAGGTTTATGTGAAGGTAGGTTTGAGAAAATTAAGTTGGTAGTTCAACTTAATTCTCATCTGCATACATAAATATGTGTGTATGTATGTATAATTTCCAGATATAGCATGAGTAGTACGGCGTAATCTTTACAAAGAGACATAAGAGGCATATTAAGTTACGTGATAAGATGAAGAAGATGAAGTGATGAACACTCATTACCTCAAACTAGAATCTCTTTTAACAATTTCCATCATGCGGAAATTTGTGTATCAAATAAATCCAGCACTTCAGCTGAGCCTCACGCATAATTTACAATGAAAACAAAAGGCTTCTCAACCAAACCACCTTTTTTATTTTACTTAGCCTACTCAATTTGCCAAAATGGTCATATCCTCAATATGTATATATTCTTGTGTAAAAAGAATTACTTATTATTTTCAAATAAATTCTTTTTCTGGGCTGAAGATTTCTTTAACTTGCATCTGTATCTATATATTAAATATATTAAGAGAGAGGTAAAACAAATCTACCTTGAAGAAAATTAATTACAAGCAGATCCTGTATGGGTACCAAGTCATGCTAATAGCTTCAATCTTTTATTTTTTATAAAAATTAAAATATATATATATATATATATATACACAACTATATTTTATTGCACTAAGAATTTTACTACCATTACTTGTACTCTAATTAATTACCATCATCTTTATTAAAATTACTACCGAAGCCTGTAAATATACATTAGGAAATCAGCTTAGATTCTTCATTAACAATTGCTCTTTGGAGCAGCCAGAAGTTTCTCCCAGTTGGATCCTTCTTCCTTTTTCTTCTATTATCACTCTTTCCATTAACTTTTTTAGGATATTCTCACAACAACTTCAAAAGCTTTAAAGAACAATAATAAAGTCAACTAAGAAGTTAAAAGATTATTCTCATGTCTCAGAGAAATTCTTTCTGATACTATAGTTGAAGAATTACAACAAGAATATTTATGATCTTTAAACAAACATATGATTACAACAACATAGCATTCCTGATATTTCAATAGAACAACCTTATTAACTGATTGCTTTCACTCTCAAATTCACTTAATAATTAGTACGAAAAGAAAACTTAAGTTAATATGCAGAGGAAAACAAAGTGAACAACACAGGAGTGCACGAAACGAGTCGAACTCAGCACCAATACGATCTGTCTTTGACTGCAATTCTTCTATGCTCCTCGTACACTTGGCTTGCCTCATAGTCCAGTGTCCATTTCTCGAAAGTACAGTCAACAAAGTTATAGTACCCACCATGTATGGAGAGCACTCCCTTCTTAACCCTTTCTTCTATCCATGGGTAAGTGAGCAGGTTCAACAACGAACAGTTGACCGACTCCTGTCAATAAGGAACATCAAGGAGTTCTTCACTAAATACAAGCAAAGTCCTAACTACTCTAAAATGCACTGTAAATAAAGTCCAGATTTAAAGTCCCAAGGTGCTTAATGTGCTCAGCAGAATCTAAGAATGAATAAATATAAGTACATTGTTCATTTAGGATAACCGTAATTGCACATATAATATATCACCATTTTTTTTTTGGAGCTCAATTGACTAGTTCCATGAATCCATAGGTTTTTCTAAAGACCAGTAAAGGGTACATTACCTTCTCACAGTGTCTGCACTGCTGGTCAAAGCTGAGGTTGGAAGCAGAAGATTTTGTGCTTAACCTAGCATCCTTCCCAACAAAGACCCAACTTCCAATAAAGCTACTGTATTATAAGAGGTGAAGTTCAGCAAAATGAACCACATTTGAGTATTTTATAGATAAAAATGCAAGGAAACCAGAATCTATACACTAGCTAAACCTTGAATTCACTTCATCTTCCATGCTCATAAGTGCACGGATGCCTCCACAGCAACTATGTCCAATGACCAAAATGTTTTCGACCTGAAAAATATTTTTTGTTGTGTCTTTGATAAGATGCCAGTAGGACATACTTTTACAGTTTATCAACAGAGATAAAGTAAGATAGGGAAACAATAGAGATAATTTTCTAGAATTTATATCACTTCAAGAAAAAAGAAAATTTCCAATACTCATAAACGGATACCGTCCATACAGTTTCATATTTAAGAATGAAACCACAAGGCAACCATGCAAATAACATTCAGCAAATTTCTTAAGAAAACCAGAATTGCCAACTTATTCTCAAGAAAGCAAACTATCCATCCCAAGATTTGGTAACAAATCAGGTTATCATACAGATTCCTCTTTTCAATATTGTTATGTTTTTTCCACTGGGAGCACCAGAGTGGTAGGAGAAGACAAGGAAAGAAATTACTTACTTCAAGAGAATTTACAGCAAATTCTAAAGCAGCATTTGTTTCCATTGGTCCACCCTGCATGAGCCCAACATAAGGAGGACAGAAAGAAGGTAAGATACATTCACATGTACACCAAAATGTTTGCTTTATAACAACCTTGATGTATAATTTACCTCATACGGTGGGACCAGATTCGCAACATTACGAACCATGAATGCCTCACCTGGCTGAAATCCCAGGATATGCGAGGGACAAACTCTAGAGTCTGCACAAGCAATCACCATGAACTGTTCTCCTAAGTGTTAGTAACAAATTATCTTTCCGGACATTTCAACAATCAAATTGACTCAACAGGAGAGGATCAAATGCATAAAGTTGGTTTCTATTTGTTGGTAACAAATCTTCTTTTCGGATATTTCAACGAGAGAATTGAATTAAGAGGAGAGGGAGCATCAATGCTAACAATGGTTCCAAAGTTCACTTGACATAGAAGAATGAAAAATCAACTACAAAACTTGAGTGAAATGATCACCTTTGGGGCTTGACCTTTGGCAAGACTTTGGAAGTATTCTAAGTTATCCCTGATCAAAATCATCTTGTTAGATTAGAACAAATTTGGCAAAGATAAACCACTATTAGACCAAGTTCCTAGCTGCTTACATGTACTTGTGCTTCTTGAAGGAAAGAAACCGATCTTTCAACTCATCAAAGGAACAAGACTCATTTTCTGCTTCAACTATGCCCTGGCCTTGATCACTTGCAAATTCCTCAGTTAGTCCAACCGGCTTCCTTGAACCCTGCATTTTCAGTCTAAGAGTCGTCCTGCATATAGCAACCGACATGTGAGCAAAAGAATTACACAACTGCACAGCGTATAAAATAAAGCAAAATGGAGACAAGCTTATCTTAGGGTCAATCCAGAAACTTGCATTGTAGTCGTAATCTTATATTGTATAACTTCTCCTATAAACAGATCATCAAACAACCGACATTAGAAGCTTGCAACATCACACAGTAGACCTCAGCGAATTCACTCTATAAACCAGCCTAGAAAAAAGAAAGGAACGAATTTTTGTAGCCGAGCTACGCAAGACCAGACCATAAGAAAATTATTTATATCAGGGCAATGACATTGACATTGGGTTCGAACTCTCCAAGTTACGGTGCAAACTTTGAAATTCTTAATTGATTTGGCAAGAAGATGCTAAATCAAAGTAGGGCGAGAAACCAAAAATGCAACAGACAGTAGTTAAACCAAGCCACAAAATCACGACTAGACATTTTCAATTCAACTAGAATGAATAAAATTTTCGAGCTCATTAACCTGAAATCAATCTTGTAGTAAAACATAATTCCACAGAAACAAGAGTTAATTGATTTGGCAAGAAGTTCCTAAATTAGCGTACCCCGAGAAACCAAAAATGCAACAGACAATAGTTAAACCAAACTAGAAATCACGACTAGACATTTCCAATTCTGCTAGAATGAGTAAAGATTTCGAGCTCATTAACCAGAAATCTATCCCGGACTCTAACATAATTCCATGAAAAAAACACTTACATCGAAAGAGTAGCTTACCTAGTGCATAACCGCAAATTGATCCTCCCAATTTCCCCAAATTTCAGCTTAGAATCAAAGATCTGAAACCAAAAAAGGAAGGATGAAAACCAACAACCAAAATGATCACATGCACATAGACGAAAGAGAAAGAAGATTCACCGTGGAAGTTTTAGGTGGAATTAGGGGCGTGGAAGACGAGAGATTGTTCGAAACAGAGGTGGGTGCAAGAATGGATGCCATTGAAGAAATCAGAAGCAGCGAAGTGATGTCTGAGCCTGAGGAGTATGAGATGGGAAAGAAAGTAACGAGAAGAAAACGACGGAACAATCATTTTGGCTGTGAAATTTATTTATATAAATAAATAAAAGGTGGATGAGTTGGTTGGTTGGATCGAAGAACACTTGGTTCCCTCACAGAAAGACGGAGAAACCGAAGTTGTTTTTCCGCCAACTAAGCCTTGCTCAAAGTTGAAGCCGAACTTTCCAGATCTTGAAGCCTGTATTTACTAATATTCGTTCCTGTCTCCAACTTTACACGCCCAATTTTTATAAATTTATAATTTATAAATAAAACATAAATATTTTAACTATAAATTCACTATATTATTATCCAACTGTTTGGTCCTACTACTTAACTCATTAATTTGTTATTGAGAAAAAATATTTTAAAATTCTTTTAATTAAAATAATTATTTTAATTTAAAACCTGAGCTAAAACTTTTATTAGTAAAAAAAAAAAAAAAAAGAGCTATAATTAGTTGTAAATAAATATGATGCTTCAAAATTAATAAAACTCATATATTACTATATTTTATTCTAGAAGAAGAAAAAAGAAAACCTACAATGGCACGCAAGTCTTTAATAATACGCACAACCATGTGGTGCATTTGCACGTCTAGGTTCGTATGTCGTCCACAGCTGGGCAAGCTCTGATAAAGCCCACCCATTCATGTAATAAAAAATTTGTAAATTCAGATTAAACTAAATTAATTAAAACCACGTTATTTCCATATTAGCTGAAAAAACAGATTATTTATATATATATATATATATTAGTTAATAGAAAATTCATTATATATTTAACAAATTTCAAGCGCATTAACAAAGAGGAATGCACCATGATATAATGAAAAGCATTTTAGGAGATACAACAAACAATTCAACCTATAGGAATGCCGTAACAGAAATGAATGCATTGAATAGCCTAAAAAAACCGACAAGGATATAACACGTTGGGTATAATAAATCAACAAAGCTACTGAATGCATCATGTAATCAACAATTTCTGGCATACTTGAAAGACAGCAAAGATCAAGTCTATGTGCAGTAACATCAAAATGGGACTTAACTATTTGTGGTGAGAAGAACTGTGTCTAGACACTTTGTCCCATAAGAAATTTTCTGGGTAAATGCATCCAGCAATCAACAATTTCTGGTAACATTGGCATACTCGAAAGACAGCATAGTATAAGTTTATGCAGTGACATCAAAATGGGAAATTTTCTGAGTAAATGCAAAATTAAACAGTAGATTCTAACTGATTATTATCCTTTCATGCATTTTCCATCAACAGGAACACTTGACATTGGATTGTTGCGGACAAATATCAAGTCGAAATGCAAGTGCATTTCAAAAGTTAAAAGCCATCAGAGAGAATGTAAGTATTCACTCAATTAACAGAACCATCTAAGACAGTTCTAGTTTCATCCAGTTAATATCTGTTTCTCCTGTCCTTTCGCACACGAAACAATTAATAAAATTCAAATTAGTCAGACCATAAGGAAATACCCTGATGAAAATCATTCCAATTTAAACGTGGGATTAAAAAGTCCAAACAAACTGCCTTTTCAGAAGCAACCAATTACAAAATTCAGTGACTACAAGGTGAGCATCTAACCACTCTTCAAGAGCAAATTTCAGGCAGAAAATTCAGCCATTTTGATTGGCGCAGAGAGATTGGTGCAAAACCTACACCAGATTTCAACATGGAAATCATGGAAAAAAATGCCAAAGACCTCTTATCAGTTGAATACAACTAGCATACAAAACAACTATAACTACCAGAGCAACTACAGGGTAACCAAACCTTACATTACTAAGTAGCCTTAACCTTGTCATCTGCATCGCCTGAAAGTATGGGCAAACTACTTAAAAACTCATCAAGACCCTCGAAAAATCCAATCCCTTCAATATTATCTTCCTCACCATTCCCTGCCCCATGCCCTTCACTCATTCCAGGCGCTGCTGGCTCTTCCACCTCATTACTGAACTCCACATTCAAATCCAACTTACCTAAGTCCTTGACTCCAACTCTCATTTGCTTCCTCCCGCTATTTCCTGCCACCCTCGCTGCTCCACTCGATGTACTCGCCACTGTACCATCTTGCACCTTAGATGCACCACCTGCCTTCTCAATGGTATCCACAATTTGATTCACTCTCCTAGCTCTCTCCACTTGCAGTTTCTTGGCATTTTTTACAGTTGATGCTCTTGCTTTACTGTGTTTGGCCTTCTTCTTCCTCTTTTCGTCCTCCCATTCATCATCGTCTTTGTCATCTTCACTGGGGTCTGAAATACCTACACACACATCATCATCATCATAGTAATCTCTCGGAGGAGCCGGTTTTTCCAGTACAATGCCAGAATTCGCTCTCCCGTTATTCTGGTTTTGACCCTGCCAAACATTTTGTCCAGGACAAGGAAACATCGGCGTTATCGGTGACCAATTAGAAGGCAACCCACTGGCAGATTTACTGTTAAACCCCAAAGGGAAAAATCCCCAACAGCAAAAGTAAGTATCATTGCCTGCCAACGGTGGAGGCGCTATCACCGCCGCATGGAATGCTCTCTTGCAATTCTGACACCGAAGCGTGCATTCCTCGTACATCTTCGGGTATTCATACAGCGTGAAACAATATGGACAAGCAGTCCAAAAACCTGCTACCCTCGATCCACTCAACAACTGATCCTGGCTCGTTTGAGTTGGCACGGCAGGCCGTGTTTCAGGAGTTGGCGCACCAGCCCGGGTTTCAGGGGTTGAGCCAGAAGGCCATGTATCCAGAGTTGGCCCGGGACATTTTGTTTCTTGAGTAGGTGCAGCAGGCCGTTTTCCAGGAGTTCCCGGTGCAGGCTGTGTTTCACGAGTTGGCGGAGTTGCCCGGGTTTGACGAGTTGGCTCAGCTGACTGAGTTTGCCAAACGGGCTGGGTAGCATTATTCAAATTAGGCCTCTCTTCCTCAATCCCCTCTTTTTCGTCCTCACTTCTAGGGCTACTTCTCACCTGTTGTGATGGCATTTGCTTAAGCTGCCGCGATTGATGTTTTCGCTGTTGATTTTGCTGTTCCTGGGGATACCATGGAGTATACTGTTGTTGCTGTTGCTGAAACGGAAGCTGTTGTTGCTGCTGATGATGATGGAGGGGATGTGATTCTTGTTGTTGCTGCTGATGATGGGGGGGATGTGGTTCTTGCCGGTGATTGTGCTGCTGTGACGGATGCTGGTGCTGCAGACATATATATATATATATTAGCCAGATTAAAATATGTGACAACAGATTTAAAATCTACATCACACTGACACATAAACATCGCTTAATCATTTGGAACCAGAACAAGCTTAAAGAAAGCCCCATTAACATTGATCTCAAGCATGATTCATCTCTAGAATACAAACAGTAGGTCTAGACCTTTCCTCCCTACCTCTCTCAAGACCTAGAAATTCTGGCAGGATAAATGTGTGGCAATGAAGCTTTGAGCATCTGGTACCAATTTTTGTTTAATCTTTTGGTACGTACATTCGGTTGCAGCATCAACAGTTGAGAGATGGATATGAGGCAATAATGCTGGCTTTTTACTTCTCTTCATGGGTTGCCATCAGGCCTGACATCATAGACAAGCTGTTTGGAAAATGTCCAAGAAAGGAGTCTATGAGGTCGGAAGCTGGTACAAGGAGCATGAAGAAGTTCAGGGCTGTCAGCGTCGATAACATCCTTTGGAAAGCTATCCTAGAGACTCACACACCTTCTGAAGTGGCTGTTTTGAGTGGAAAGCCACATGGCAGCATATTCTAACCATTGATAACAATATAAAAGTGGATCTTTTTGGCCTATGCATGCTAGTGCTGCAAATACGCAGCAGAGTCTCCCTGCCACCTCAACCTTGGCATGCTTGGTCAAGAAGGCTGTGGGAAGTAGCAATCAAGTTTTTGGGGTTGTTCAGGGTGTTGTTTGCCTCCTTTCAGATAAAGATTTGGGCTTGGTAAGCCAAAGCTGTCTCCGAACAGCAGAGGAAGATTTTGGCTCTTAATCAACTTTCTATTTTCTTGATTCTTTGCAGAGTAGAAACATGAAAGCCTTTGAAGCAGAGAGGTTCCTCCTTCCAAAGAAGTTCCAGATTTTTTACTGAGAAATTTATTCTTTTAGGTGTCTGGTCACTACCTCTCCGGAGATGAGGGCTTCCTAGGCCTAGTAGACCTTCTGAATTTTAATTTAGACAATTCACATTGCCTTTGTACATGGAAGAACCCCTTGATATCTTCTTTATAATACTCTTTTTTCCAAACAAAAAAGACCCAGCCATACCCTTAAGCTATAAATTTTTTCTGTCACTCTATACAAGTTTTCCTTGTTATAGCCCAATTTGAGAACTATATTTTATCATTGCACATGTTACTTCAGCAACTTTCTCATTGCAGAGATCAACTGCTTCAGTACTTCCACTAACCTGGAAATTATTGTAAGTAGAACTTTCTAAAGGCTAATATTTTTTTTTTTTGATAGTACCATCAACCCTGCAAAATCCTTTTCTAAAGGCTAATATATGTGTGTACCATATAAATGCCTCCATAAAAACTAATTATTCAATGATATTCTGTGCGTATGTGCACTCTGTATCTAATCGGTATTTATGCCCCACGATAACCATGGGTTACCTTGACTTAGGTCATGTGCCACATAAGGACGTACACCATTTTGCTGGTGCTCGGAATTAATCTTGAAGTTCCATAGCATCACCAAGGAGTCCTAGGTTCGACCAACAAAAAACTAGTTCTTTTGGAGGATTGGACATAGGGAATTCTAAATATAGGAACTTGTCATTATTGGTTAAGTAGTTATAGTGTTTTTTGCAGGAACCTAATTCTTTGTGGCATAAAGTAATCAACATCATTCATTGTAGTTAATGGACTGGTTAGGATGCTGTGAAAACAAGATCTACCAATCATAAAAGTTCAAGGAAAGTCATCCCAAATTTGCTTAACATCTATAAGCCTCTGACCACATATAAAATGGGGAACAGTTCCAATGTCCTTTTTCGGGAGGACCTTTGGAGGGGCAACGAATCTAGAATATCCAATTTCCACATCTTTTTCACATATCTTTCCCGTCGCAATATCCCGATTGACCAATTCTTTCGTCTTTCAAAAAAGTTCTCTGACTTGGAACTTTCACTTTTAAAGTAGCCCGAACGATAAAGAAACCATTGAACTCCTTACCATGTTAAGCTTATTACAACAGTTTCAACCTTCACAACAGCCTGATTGTAGAATATGGACCCTTAACTCATTGGATACATATACCTGAAATCATTTGCCGATTGTATAAAAAGAACCGTGATTATTTGCGAAGTACCTTTACCAAGGGATTCTGACAAGTCTAGGTTCCTTCCAAGTGAAAGTTTTCATGCGGACTGCAATTCTGAACCAGCTTAACATCAATGATTTGGTACAAATTTGCAGGCTTAACTGAGCTTTGTCTCCTAACATGTGTTTTATGTACCATGACGGGGGAAAACACATTCTAATCTCTTTCTAAATTGTGAAATGGTGTGAAAATTATGGGTCAAACTTTCTGACACTTTTAGCCCAATATTGGTTACTTCTTTAGATTGTTTCATCAACACTAATATCAGTTGCTTCGGGTTAAGGTAAAGGCCACACCACTGTGGCAACGGGCATTGTTTGCTGGTCTTTGGACTATTTGGATAGAAAGAAATCCATAGATATTTGACAATTTTTTGTGCAAGACAACCTCACTAGGAAGAAGATGACCTTTCTGCCTTCCCTTTGGGCCAAGGCTCATGGGAAATACTCTAACATCCTCCCTGTCCTTTATAGGAGCTGGGATACTATAATCACGTGATTTGTTTTCTCTTTGGTGCTTTCTCTTTTTTCACTTTTTGTTTCGATTTCCTTTTGTTTCAGCTGGATAACTTACCTGATGTTCTCTTCCTATTGTTTCTTCCTTATCTTAATAATATCCCTTTTTCCATTAAAAAAAAATGTGGAAAGAGCAAAAACTTAGTGCATGTATTGAACCATTTTCTTTCACAATGTACTTACAGGTCACCATCCAAAAGGAAAGAAATACCAGTCCCCCGGAATCATATAAGAGCAGGTCACACCACACCAGTAAGGTGGGATAAGCATCGGTACCCTATTCAATCATAAGAGAAAAGGAACATATCTCCAGAAAATATAGGTTTGCAAAAGGTTTGAAAGATGGAAATTTATCAAGATACAAAAAAATAATAATAAAGCTTGCCAATAATAAACTTACGAGCAATTTTATAAATAAACCATGAATTTAGCACTTCCAAAATGTCCAAAAATTCTTGGATATCACAGTATACAAATTTCTAAAATGTTGAATTTGAACGAAACACACAACCAGATATATGCATATATAGGTATAGATAGAGAGAACAATGAACATCATGAGGTTGCAAGGGACATACTCAATCAATGATGAAGGTTTACGCCTTCAAATCGACAAGGCGTGAATAGTAACAGTAGTTCATCACACAAACTTGTGGCTTTACAATAACATTGTACAAACTTACGGTAATATTAAGGTAATATTAATACCAATAATATTAAAGTTCTTTTAAATATTAGCAATGAGTTTTTAAATATTAGCAGTCATTATAGTTTGTTGTATTAATAGCTTGTGCTAATTGGTGCATGGAGAAGAGTTGCTTTAAAGGCTAAAGTTTGAGTTCAAGATATTCATAATGCTCGAAGATTGATACTTACATCTCATTACTAGTTGCAGCTTGCTACTTAAAGATTTTCTTTTTCCCTCAAACAACACCAAGCAAATGCCAAATACATTAAATAATATTTAATTACAACCATAAATGTAAAATATAAAAAGTAATCAGTTTACTAATTGCAAAAATCACAGGAAAGTAAAGAAGCCGATGTAATATTGTACTGAAACTAAAAAAGAGCTAATTGCACGTATTAATTTTTTATTCAAAAAGCTGAAGTCATTCCAGCAAAAGACAAATCTTCTCCTTTGTGGTGTATGGTATTTGGAATCCATCTTTGAAAATCTCTCAGGTACTCAGTACAGTTTAAGTTTACAACAAATATTGAGAAGTTACTGACCCACACAACGAAGAAAGAACCTAATCTTTCAAATCATGTATACTATAATCCAACACAAAACTCCTAACAATCTACTAACTTGTAACAGAATTTCTGCAAACGAAGAAAAACTCAGAGACCAACCCTTTGACAACAGATTGGGCAGGAGTTTTGCGTTTTCAACCAGTTAAAGATGCATAACTCATGAAAGATGTGGCGATACGGCATGTCAATCAGCTCCTTGGCCGACAAGAAATCTTCGAGAGATATGGCATAGGTGCCTTCAATAGCGTCACAAGTGTCGGTACAATCAACCCTCTGTTCTGCTCTCAGTTTTTCAAGCAGGGAGGGCAATACCCCATTATTTGCAGAACTATCTCAGTTGCCACCACCAAAATCAAACTCGGACAGGCCTAGATCGCTCCTATCATAAGTGAGCACTTCTTCAAAATTATGGATTTTCTGTCCCGTGACTTCTTCCCTCAAAAATAACATCGGTTCAGACAGTCACTGCGTCAAACGAGAACTGGTTGGAGGAGCCGGCAACAGATATCCCTTGTAAACGAAAGAGCATTTCGGTAGCCATTTGCTCAGCTAACTCACTACCAAGACCGAAACTAGTGAGTTGGTTGAGAATGTGGTGGTGGGCTGTGGATTGCAAGATCAGGCCTATCGAGAGGTAGAAGACTGTATGGGAAGGTGGAAAGATTTCTTGTCAATTCAAGACCGTTTCCCTACCATCAATATCACGGAATACCCTCTCAGAAATGTGGGTTACTCAAAGTCTGACAGTCAAGTGCTCAAGACCAAACAGGTATTGGCGGCAACCTAATTCTGTCTACATTCAGTGTCCTGAACTCCATGTTTCTCGAAATAAAAAAGAACGGAAACAGAGAGAGAAAGAAGGAAACAAAAAGCCTAGATAGAGGAAGAAGACCACAGAGAGAAGGACATATAGGCTGAGAGAAAAACCAGAGAGAAAAATAGTCGGAGAGATTGTTTATGGCGTTCAGGTGTAGTAAATGCAACTACAACAACCTTTTTTCCTTTTTCGATAAGGAATTGTAATTACAAATCCAAATTTAAAAAATTTAGGGAAGATCCAATCTTGATCTCTCTGGTTTCCTTTTATAAGGGTGGGTTACGCAGAGAGCGGAAAAACCGACCGTTGGGAGAATTGCGTCGTAAGTTACTATCTTTCAATTCTGTAATTAATTAATCTTCTAATTTATTTTATTTAATTTACGGCTTTTAATTTCTGCCCTTAGATTTCCATGTTTCTTTTCTTTATGATTTTATTTTCTAACTTAACATTTTCACTGAAAATTGAACGCCCTGATCTCCTCCGACCTTTCTTCTTCTCCCTCTCCTTCCCCCAAATTATTTTAAGAAGAACAGACGTAACTAGGTTTTGCTTGAATATATATAAACATAAAGAAACACTAGTGTCCAATATCAGCATTAACTTAAGAATGATGCCTAGAACGCACTACTTCTTTTTTGTTAAATATTATAATTATAAGAAAGAAAAAGACTGAACTAGTAGCTTTTACAATATCCAGTATATAAAGATCATGAATATATATCTCGTAAAAATTTATCATCTAAGTAAACGGAATTACGATATTAACTTCCATAAATTATATATATCCAGCGTAGTGAATTGAATAAAAAGGGGGAAATAGAAAAAAGAGTACAAGAAACTTAGCTCACTGACCTCGCTGAAGAGAAACGTACGAGGACGGCAATTTCCTCTTGCCGAATCGAATCCCCCAGAACCAGGACCAATATAAAGCTTTTCCCTCATGCCTTGTACTAGAACGAAAAAATCATCCCCAGATCAACATCATATACCACACTGAACAACTCAAACACCGATAGGAGAATGCAAGAAGGATATCAGCGTTTGAGTTGAGAATCCAAAATTTCGAAGGAAACAGACAGAAAGTGGAATCGAAACGAAAAAGATAGAGGCAGATCTGAGGTTGGAAAACATACTTTACCTGTAGGAGATAGAAGGAGAACTAGACCAGTCGCCTGGCGAGTTAAAAGACTGAGGAAATGTTGAAGCTGGTAATAGAGAGAGAAAGGGAGGGAAATGCATTTAGCAACCAGCAGTGGATTGGGGGAGAACGGTGCACGTGGAGGAAGGTGGTTGGCTGACCAGTGTGATTGAAACTTTTTTTTTATTTTTTTTCTCTTATATATTTAACAAATAAATATTCCTATAGAATTAATAAAATTTTAATTAGGAATTGATTATAATAAAGATAATAAGTAAATTATTGAAATTAAAGATGTGTATATGGGAGAGTTATTGACTAACTTATAGAAGGTGTGAAATTAAAAAATTTTACTTGTGGTTATATTTCATATAATCTACACCAATAAATTAAAATACCCAATAACTTCCACATATATATATATATACTAATTACTTTACTAACTATTTTCTTTCCATTTTTTATAAATATAAACCTATATACTAAACACAATATCTTGTTATACATTACCGTTTTAACTTCCTATAAACTTGTACTAGTTTTTTCTTTTTATTTTTTTATAAATATAAACCAATATCTTTTTATAAACTAAATACAATATCTTGTTACATATATAATATTGTTTTAACTTCATATAAATTTGTATTAACTTTGTTATTTTTTAAATGAAATAAATCTTAATACTTCTATTAAGACCAAAGACTTTTATCCTAATGCCAAACACTCACACCCGAGTCCCAACGAAAAAACAAAATAAATAAATACCTAAGAGAAAAAGAATTGTATATTACTCTTAGCTAGTAAATTGGTCAATCTATGGTGGGAAACTAAGAAACATGAAAGTCCTCGAGCTGCTTTTTGAACTCAGAAAAGCTAACCATCAAGAATAACTCACCAGCCATCCAAGCATGAGGGAAATGCTTCAGTAGCTAACTTATACTCAAAACAATGGATTTCTTATTCATATGCTATCAGAGTTCAAACTAATCAAGAAGAC